ACTGGGCCCAAAACTGCCCCCGAAGACCAAACCTACGGAGCAGAGGGCTCTGAAGAAGATCACAGACGAAGCACTGCAGCCTAATCTCAGTCTAACCTTTGACCTTATTGACCATTGTGGACTCCAGCAGGAGGTCCAATCATCTCTGACGCTCCTCTTATCTTCAGAAGAAAACAGGCTTAAAGTTCTGGACTATTCCTAAAGCCCAGAGCTGCTTCTGAACATCTCTGTGGTCTAAACATCAGAACCTCCCTGCCATCCTCACTCACGCTCAGGAGCCAAGAACAGACACTTCACTAACGTTCCACCACGTTCTCAAAACCTTCTGCATATTTAAATGGTTCAGATCTGTTCTAGAGTCAGAGCTGTTCACAGTGGTGGTGATAGGAACCAGACGTCCACCTCTAAAAGCTCCCTCACAGAAAGTTCCTACATGAAATGGTTATGAATTCACTGCCTGATGACTGAGACACTGTTTTATGATAGTTTAGAGAACTTAAACTCCATTCATGGTGGAGGGATACATGCAGGGCGCTGTGAGGCAAAATAGTCCCCAAAGAAAACTTATTATTTCAGATTTTCCACTATTTTCATCATCAACATTCCATATAAACTCAGAAGACTCGTGTAGGTTCACTGGTGGTTCTGGATAGTAAATAAAATGTCTATATTTGTGTTGTTGTCATGGCGACCCCTGGTTCCTATCACCACCAATGTAAAGAAGTCTGAATTCCAGTTATGGAAGTCCTCACTGTGTTTTTATAAGCTATCACACTACTGATGGCAACAAACATCTGTTAGCAGCTCTGTGGATGAGGAGACTCAGATACGATCTAAAATAAAGAACATTATCTCAGTCAGGAGCCTCTGCTGACGACAGACCAACCTTCAGGAGCAGACAGACAACTGAATCGTTTACAAAAGAATCACCAGCACACTCGAATCAAAGAGCAGTGAAAGGTAAGATTACAGTGTGTTCAATCATTTTCTGAAGATTCACAACTGAATCGAATCATGGTGAAATGTGAGATTGTGATATACTGAATCATTTTCTAAAGATTCACAACTGAATCGAATCATGGTGAAATGTGACATTATGATATACTGAATCATTTTCTAAAGATTCACAACTGAATCGAATCATGGTGTGAGACTATGATGCATCTAATAATTTCCTAAAGAATCATAAGTGAATCGAGTCGTGGTGAGATTGTGGTGTTCTGAATGATGATCCTACCCTCTGAAGGTTCTGCTGTGTTTATTTATTACACAGGCTGAGTGAACGTGTCTCAGGTGTCCCCCCCCGCAGTGTGAGCCCTCAGAGCTCCACAGCCTCCAGGACACGCTGCTCTAATCCTGATTAAAGGATAAATCTACAGGGGTCACACAGTTCAGCACAACATCAAACCCCCCCGATTCACCCCCCCCCACACCTCCAAACATACACTCTTAAAAAAGTCCTACAGTAAAGACAGTGGTTCTACATGGAACCACGAATACTTAAATGGTTCTCTGCATGGTGCAATTGTTCAGATTCAATGAGATTGATAGAGAATGTGCTGCATGTGGTTCTATACAGCATCTAAAAGGGTTCTTCTGTTGCTGGAGTTAATGTAGAACTGCTAATTCACCCTTTAACCCTGAAGATCAGCACAGACTGCTGGTCACCATAGCAACACAGACAACAGTCTGGCCTAGCTAGTAGCTCACGAAACGGCAAAGAGAGAGATTTAAGATGAACATCGATAATTTGGAGACGAATGGACTTATTTGTGTTTATAATCACTCCAGCTGGTTTCCTGATACGTTTAATCTGCAACGAGAAACTGAAACACTAAAAAGCCTAAAAGCTGAAGTCGCTTCTCATTCAGCAGCTTCGTGTTTGAATTTACCCGTTCCACCTTAAATGGTGCAGCAGTTACATTCTGACACATCAGGCACCATTTAAGGTGGAAGAGGTAAATTGGAACACGAAGCTGGTGAATGAGAAACTTCAGCCTCGTAAAAAGTCGAACATTGAGAGACATTTTACAGGAAACTGCTCTACTTTTGAGGAAAAGTTTCCTGCTGGAGATGTGAGAAAAGCAGCTATAGCTGAGTTAAAGCTTAGAGCAGAGCAAAGTGAGTCTGTGTTTTTGTTTATATTATATTTTTTGCCTATTTTTACTAGTACCTCAGCACATACGGAGACATATTTACAGCCAAGATGGTGAAATGGACATAAATGTTGTGGCTTCCAAAGTAGTTTGATTTCTGTTGAAAGGACAAAACGGCTCTTCTTACCATTTGGGTCGCCCACCTCTGTTTTATTGTTACAAGCTTGACATCATAGCAGCAGAACCCTTTTTGGTTCCGTGCAGAACCACTGTCTTTACTGATTAACATTTAAAGAGCCCTCTTTTTTAAGAGCACAGTCAATCAGCAAAAACAAGTCTGCTGTTTAGCTGTTTAGCTTTAGCACTGGGGCTACGAGGCTGATTAATTAATGAGCATGGTGTCTAAATGCTGGCACAGCATGGCTAAAACACTGCTAGCATAAAAATGTCCATGTTTACATGTTTTTAAAATACAATCTCAGTTTCCTTCAGCAGACCTGCAGCCTTCAAATCACATCGGACCATGGTGAACTCATCAGGAATCAAATCGTGGTGAAATGTAAAGTAATGACATATTGAATCGTTTCCCAAAGAATCATAACTGAGCTGAATCATGGTGAAATGTGAGATTATGGTGTATCCAATCGTGTCCTGAAGAATCATAACAGAATTGAACTGTGGTGCAATGCGAGATACTGATGCATTGAATCATTTCCTAAAGAATCATAATCAAATCGTGGTTAAATGAGAGATTAAGATGTGTTGAATCATTTCCTAAAGAATCATAACTGAATCGAATCATGGTTACATGAGAGATTATGACGTGTTGAACTGTTTCCTAAAGAATCATAACTGAATCAAATTGTGGTGAAATATGAGATCCTGATGTTTTGAATCACTTCCTAAAGAGTCATAACTGAATCGAATCAAACTCGTTATGAAACCCTGCCCCTCTCCCGTTTTAGCCCCTCTCGGCGCAGCGTGGTCCTATTTCTGCAGCGTCCGTCTCCCTGAGCTCATATTGTCTCTGATTAAACAGGCCAGCAGGAATGTAGGCCGAGATCCACTTCAGGAACGGAGACGATAAGAACCTCAGAACTCCAACATACAGAGTTCAGAGCCGAGAGGAGCATCTACTGTTAATCCGTCCAGCTGGTGTGTTTCAGCGCGGCCACTCTGACCCGTTTACAGGACAGTAAACACTGGACAAACATCCTCTCTGTAGACAGGGCTGATTCAGTGCTGCGTACAGCAGGATTTCTCAGCAGAGCTGGATACATTAAGCCTGAACTGAAGACCTGACAGCAGGGTTTAGCAGTTAGCCAGATAACTTAAGCCTAACGTCTACATGTACAAGATGAGCAAAGGAACGCTGCTGCTGGACAATCCTCACTCTTGGCTTAAACTATCAGTTTAACTGAGAAATCCTCCTTCAACAGCAACACCTCTGGAAGATCTGCCAGTTAGCCAGATAACTTGAGCCTAATCTCAAACCTGACCAATAAGATTAGAGCTAAGGGTCATTTCTACTGGACAATCCTCACTCTGGGCCAGAATCGTTCAGAATAAAGAGGACATTCGCTTTATGAAATGCACCCATGTATAACACACTTAGCCAGATAACTTAAGCCTAATCTCGAGACTGTCAAACAGGAGTAGAACTAAGGGTCATTGCTAATAAGACTATCCTCACTTAGCGCTTAAACTATCCAGCTACCGGAGTGAATTTGCTTGATGAAATATACTCACATAATGCATAACACAATTAGCCAGATAACTTAAGCCTAATCTCAAGAGTCTCAATAAGAGGAGAGCAAAGCAGTGCTGTTGGACTGTTTTCACTTTAGACTAATATTTCAGGATTAAGTGACAAGTTCTGCTTTGTTAAACATCCCCGGAATCGCACTCACAGTGAACAGGATAACTTAATCCTAAATATCTTCACTCTGGGCCGGAATTATCCAGATTAACGAGGACATTTACTTTATGTAACATACCCATGTGGGGGTAACACAATTAGCCAGATAACTTAAACTTGATCTCAAGCCTGCCCAGGTGTAGTAGAGCTAAGGGTCATTTATACTGAACAGAAACTGTGCTTTATGAAATATACCCATGTAGTGAATAACACAATTAGCCGGATAACTCGAGCCTAATCCCAGGAGTGTTCAGTAAGAGGAGAGCTAATTTAGATTTGTATTTCAGGGCTAAATTAAAAGTTCTCGTTTATTAAACATCCCTCAGAACAGCCCTTCACAGTAAGCTGGATAACTCAATCCTAAACCCAACCCTGATTAGAGGCGAGCTCGGGTCATTCCTACTGGACCGACTTTAATAATCCAGATTTAAAGCGAAATCCTGCTTTCTGGAAACACCTCAACCCCCCGTCTGCTCCGGCAGGGTGAGGCAGGGCCGCAAATCCAGCTCCACCAGAAAGTCCAGGTTTTAGCAGATCAGACAGACGAAGGCTGGGGAATCAGAGCAGCTCAGCCTGGAGATCAGACACCCCGGAGAACCCGAGCAGATCGCGGGTCTAGAACCGTGTTTATTTACTCTCCACCCTCCAGGCTGAGGGCTGAGTGGAGCGTTAGCGTGGTGCTAACGCTAAAGCTCGCGCTCAGCTACCCAGCAGTCGGAGCAGGAGAGGCTGGTCTGGGAGCCGGGGAGCCGGGAGCCCCGGCGGGCTGACAGCGGCTCCGAGAGCCGGAGGAGCGGCTCTGCGTCACAGAGGGGCTTATTAATTAATAAACACAGCAATTAGGCAGTTAAGCGATTAATTAGGAACACTTTAGCGGGCTGTCAGTGAGGCAGTCCGGACCGGTCAGCAGGAACACAGCTGTGAGGATGACAGGACACCCCCCCCCGCTCTCTGTGTGCGCGTGCGTGTGCGTGTGCGTGACCCAC